GAGTAAAATCCCATCTTCGACACATAGCACACACTCAGAAACAGATTTAGCTACAAGAAGGAGCTTGTCTCTTGCTAGTTAAGCTTAGCTCTTGGGAAGGATCGGAGGCTCACACTCATTCCAGAACACTGGATAAGACACTGGAAACACAGGAACAGGACGGCGGGACGCGTAGTGTGGGTGCTGTGTCCTAACAGTATGGACAGCTTCTCTCCTCCCCAAGAGGTGAGTGGGGGGCTGCACTCCAACCCCTAGGGAGTCCTTGTTTGAAAAATCTACAAGTCATTTTACATTCTATTACTCTGGGTGTCATGCAGCAAAGTTTCTTAGCAAGAATTCCCAGACATGGATCTTTATAAATAAGATTTTTTTTTAAAACATGTTTGTCCCAGTGCGTATTTACCAGAGCAAGAGGGTGATGAAACCTAGTCATGTGTCCTAAATGGGTTTTAACAGCCACATGTGTTTTTGTCCCCATGTGCTTTGGGGGATTTCATAATCCACACTGGCCACAATCATTCAAATCAGACTTCATAAAAAGTTTGTTATAAACATAGTATTTTAAATGGCTAAGTCTTCATCAAGGAGTATTAAAACACACAAAAATATTTTTCCAGGATAAACAATTCCCAAAATACTATGGAGGGACTTAGACTTAAGCACCCATGTTCACATTAGCTGAAAGACAGAAGCCACCCAGGCGCCATCCGTGGATGAACGGAGTGTGGTTTATACACATGGATGGAATATTACGCAGCCTTAAGAAGCACATCCTGCTTTGACATGGATGAACAGCCAATATCGTGTGATTCCACCTCTGAGAGGTGCCCAGAAAGGTGGCTGCCAGGAGCTGACAGGAGGCAGGAACAAGGAGCCTGAGTTTGACAGGCGCAGTTTCAGCTTGGAAAGATGAAAACGTTCTGGGATGAGGTGCTGTGCTCAGCACCAGGCCAACTTAATGCTCGTGAACTACACGTTCGCAACAGTGAGTTCCATGTGATGTGTATTTTAACCCAATGGGGAACATTAGGGAGCCCTGCAACTCAGAGGAAAAGGAGGAGCAGGTCTCTATCAACAACTTTGGGCCAAAGAAAGTTCATTTGGATAATTCCAAGCAAGAGAATTCCTGAGGAACCAGGTTGCAACCCTGCCCTGAGGAAGGAGGAGGAGAAAAACCTCCCCTCTGTCTCACTTCAATTCAAAAAAAAAAAAAATAGTAATCAATCAATCACTTTGAAAATTAAAGAGAAAATGAATCACACCACGCTGCTGAGATTGGACTCTCAGTCCCAGCCCAGAGCCCCGGAGCTCTGGGTGTTCACTTGGGCACCTCGGGCACAGCACCACAGGAGTCCCCCCGGTACCTGCAGCAGAAGAGGACAGCCTCAGACACCACAATGTCAAATAGGAACTCAAGCCATTCATAATCTTTACTGTCCAAGCGGAGCCTGATAAATTCCAGTTAGGCTAATCCCATTAAGATCTAACACTGTTATCTTTTTTAAGTGAAAATATATTTAATTAGGTCACAGGAAGGAAGGGGCAGTCTGGCTCCCCGGCTTCAACCCCCGTTTATCGGGGCCTGCAGACACGATGGGAATATGGATGAAACTATTTGTTCCTGGCACATTTCTTCTCCTTCTCCTTGCCCTTCCTCCCTGCAGTCACATTTATGGACATTTTATCGTACCTTGCCACCGAAGAGCTCGCAAGGGAAGGGTAGTTCTTCAGAAGTGAAGATGGGTAGAATATTTTCTATCAACACCACCTTCTTCCCACCTGCAGCCCGGGAGGACTGCACAGGGAGAATCCTGAGCGCCAGGCAGCCGCCACGTCTGAGTACCTATTTCTTTTGCAACACTAAATAAAAGATCATCAGGCAAATGATCATTGACCTGGAAAATGGCAGAATCACACATGGTGTATCTCATTATCCAGGAGGGACGGAAAACGAATGGTTTCATGGGCAGCAAGACACACAGGACGATGGAAAGGCCTGTCCTGGTATTCAGAGTCCTAGGGTGGCAGGTTCCAAATAACCATTTAAAATAATAATAATAATAATAAAGCACACATACACATACAGAAGGTAGCCCGATCTATGACTGTCAAAAACTCTGGGGAGGCTGGAGGCTAGGATGATCCAAACAGCTCTTGGGGACTCTCTAGCACATCCCTACCCAAGTGTCCACGCCAAACCATCTCTACCTGATGGAGTCCACCCCTGGGCATTTCTGCACTCACCTGGTTTAGTATGATCTGGAAAGATAAACAGAAAGCTCCAATAGATTCAAATTATTTTTTTCTGATTCTTATCAGATAAGGTGAGTTTCATTTTTTCTGATTACAGGTTTTGCTAGAATTAGAAACAGGTGGTATATGAATATTTGGTATTGCTAGGAGCAAATTTACATATCGCCAGAAAACAGAAATTTTCTAATCACATAAATCATAAATTGTAATCACACAAAAAACAGGTCTTTCCATTTCTCTTAGTTGAGAAACAGTTCTTTAAAAGGCCTCGGAATCAGAGCTCTGGGGCCCACATCTCTCCAAAAACCTGCCATATGGTGAAGAGTCCACAAAACGGTTTGGGAAATGCGTAGATGCAGGTTTACTGTCCTAAAAGGAAACAGTTGACTGAGACCAATCAGGTTTTAAACGTCTGCTATCAATTAAGAATAAGTAAATTTATGAATTGATTAGATTTTTCCTCATCTTGGCAAATGAAACCGGGCCTTCGCTTCCACCCCATCTGCCCTCAGCAGGGGAGGAAAGGGCACGAGACAAAATCAGCACCGGCGTCAAAGAAAACACCTCCGCCCCATGATTTTTACTGGAAAAATAAATTTTGTTTTGCAGTAAGCTATTTCATTTTTAAAAAAATCTGTTTTTCCCCAAGGGTAGAGTTCTGTTTATTTTTCAATGAGGCCCACGAAACCTCCCAAGTGCGACTTAGATCTGCATCGGGCTGATCCTCCAAATGTGACCAACCCAATCCACGCGGCTCATTTTCTAATGAGTGCTGCGATTTGGGGAGAGCACGTGGGAGAGCCAGCAAACTAACCAGGGCTCCTGGGCTCCTGGGCAGCAGCGGGCAGGCAGAAGGCGTCTGGGGAAGGCGCCGTGAGCCAATCCCACAGTCAAGCTCTAATCACGCCTGCTGGAAACCAGGGGGCAAAGGTGGAAAACCCTGCCAAGAACATCCGTGGGACCGGTCTCCCTTTCCTTTTCCACACTCTATTTCAACACTCCAGCAACCAAGGCAGCTCAACCTTTCCTTTTAACTCAGGGACCGCAAGGACATCTTGAAAAACTAAAAATGCCTCACGCTGCAAAATGTAATATCAGTGTCCCCGACTTCCTTTCCTGGAGCCATATCCTCTTACGGGAAAGAGAAGGACGGCGCCGCCAGAGAGGGGGTGTCGTTGGCATGCTCCAAAGTGCACACGTTTCTGACCAAGACACCTACAGACAAAGCTAGCCAGATCTCCTCCCCTAGACCCAAACTGGCCAGAGACATGGCAAAAGGGTCAGCCCCAGGGCAAAGCAAACAGCCAAAGGCGAGAGATGGCGGGAAAACTCCGAGTCAGCTCACTGGTGGCGTAAGTAGGAGACGGTAAGCCCCCGACCATACCTGCTCAAGGGCTATGCTCATGTCTCCTCCCACCTGAACCCCAAACCACAGGCAAGTCCCCAGCAGTGGCTCCAAAGCAGGACAGCAAAGAAAGAGGCTTTAAACCCTGTGGGTGTAGAGACCCCAACTCCTCCCCACCCCCCACAACCACCCATCAAAGCCAGAATCACCTGAGGTCAAGGGAGGGCAATGTCAGTCAAAGTCCTCTCAGGTGACTCCATTTGTCCAATTGGCCACTGAGAACCCCGGGTTTAAAAATGATGTTAGAAAACAGAAGCCAGTTTCCCTATCAAACCCTCCCAGGGCTTTACTTTCACTGGTCGGTCCTGTTCCAGAAAGTCAGTCACCACGTCCACCCCGCCCTGCTCCCAGGCACACCTCACAGTGCAGAAGCAGGTGGGCCTGCTGCTCCCCACAGCTGACTTGGGGCAGACCCCACAAGGAATGGCAGGTGGTTCCCCGCCCTGGTGACCCAGGAGTGTAAGTGCACAAGCCTGTGTATCTGAAGTGCCGCAGGACAAGTCTGTGATGTTCAACACAGAGACAGATGCAGACTAGGGTGTGCAGAGAGCAGAGAATCTCGGCCTTACACAGTGGCTTCCATCCCTCACCCCGAGTTAGAATCCCCTGGAAGGCTTGTGCCCAGCCCACTCCCGGGACCCCCGACTCAGTCAGCCTGGGTGAGGGTCCTCTGACAGTGCTCCTGAGGAACTCATGCTGCAGTCTCAGAACCCCATTTTGAGGACAACTTCTCTGGGTGCAACGTCTGACATCACCAGACATTGGACATACAAACAGAAATGGTTCTTTATGGCAGCTCTAGTCACAACTGGAATATTGAATACTCCTCCATATATGATATGAAGGACTCATTCTGAACTATGGTTTAAAATGAGAAAATAGTATGGATCTATATGTATTCTATATATAAATAAATAAATTGATACATATAAACATTGTATATATTAAAATATATATCTCATCTATATGATTTTTTAAGAGTGTCCTTACTTTGAAGAATCATACATTGATAAAAAAAAAATGGTGGAAACACTGCAGATAAGATTGACCGAGGCATGAGCCAGCCTCCCTCCTCAGGGGTGACCCTCATCCTGAAGTTGGCCCCGAACGTGCAGATTTTATGTCACCACCATGTGCATGTACGAACACATAAAGACAGAACCAAAAACACGGAAGAAAAACAGCACAGACAAGTCACTGCAAGAAATAGGTGAATGCCAAAGGAGAACTAGAGGACACTGTCAGGAACGCAGGGCAGCCCCAGGAACAGCCAGCTACAGAGACGGCCACCGAGAATCAGAGTGACCTCTCGTCTGGAAACCCCACCCACAGAGCCTCTTACCTGGATAGGCCGATGTGTGAGCTCTTCGCCCGCCGTCCCCTGGGTGCTAGAAGAGAAAGGAAACCCGGTCAAACATGAAGGGTCAACAGGAGGGGGACACGCAGTCGGGGAGGTTGCAGAACTCAGGTCCACGACTTGGAAGGCACCTCGAGGAGCCAGGGAAGGTCCTTGATTAAGCTCTGCCCTTAGACTGCAGGACACCTGGCCACTCTGGAGCCGGCCAGGGACGGGCTGCAGAGCGTGGAGTCTGGACAAGGCTGGAAGCCTTCACAGAGGCAGCACCGGCTCTGACCTCCTGTTCTAAAGCAGCACCAGCACGTCACGGGGCCTTTCTAGGCCCCGACGTCATGATCTGGAACGAGGAGGGTTTTTACACCTTCTCCAGGGTGGCTCTGCACGTGTGAGGTAGTCAGAGAAGCCAGCCAGTGTGGGTATGCACGTAGACCCAGAGGGTCACTCTATGGAGCTGGTTTCGCTTATTCTTTAACACAGTGCCGTAGAGCAAGGGCGGATAGCAACGGAAGCTCCAGACAAGAGACTGTGGCTGAGGTTGCGCCATAACTTCCCCGAGGTCCCAGAACTAGCAATCGCAACAATGAAGACCCCAGCCAGCTGGCACTACAGGAGAGACTGTGCACGCTGCTCCACGGACCATACCCTGCCGCTGGCGTCACCTCAAAGCTACAGAGAACTTCAACTCCAGGTCTTGAGAAGAGCTACAAGATCACATCAAAAGTCAATCCATTTTCTGTGCCTAGCCTCATCCTTCTAAAAAACATCTGGTCGTTTGTGCAAATGTGTTTGGTTACAAAATAACTTCCCGATAGAATATCCAACAAAATGAATTTATAACATTAATTATAAATTAATTTATATTAATTATAAAATTAATTTACTTAAAAGTTTGCATTTTCCTCTATAAGTTAAAAAAAAAAGTTGATAACGGGTTATATCTCGATTCAAGAAAGGAAGTTGGGAGTTTTGCTGTCCCTTAGAATTTTTAGAGACTACACTCCAAAGAACTGATGTCTTAAGCACTTGGTTCCAAAAACAAAGTTCTTGGCAATTCATGAAAGATTCAACTATTGCACAGAGTGGCTGTTTTATTTTTTTAAGGAGAAATAATTATCTAAGGATTAGAAATATCCTGCCCTGCTCTTTGGCCAAGGCGGGAAAGCAGCTTCAGCAACTCTCTGGGGCACAAGGTCGTCTTTCTCTGTGGAGGCACAAGGTCATGTGGTAGGGATGCTCATAATTGGCAAAGCACCTTTGTCCAGTGAATCAGGTGAAACGACAACCTATTAGATGGAGCAGTGGTCTGATGTGGGACCCAGCTGCTCGGCTCCCGCTAGGCTTCAAATAATTCAGCATTATCAACCTCCCCCATTAAGTACAATTAATGTTAGGAAATGGAGAAAATAAGCACGGGTAAATAAAATGGCTGACACACACCAAGCACAGCAGAACCTACCAACTGTGCTCACAACAGCAGCTTCCCGGGCTCCCACTGACCTCGAGGTGCTAATGAGGGAGTTCTGCTAAGATTGCATTAAAAACCTTCCCACACTTAGCCAGCCCCAACCCCAGCCCAAACTCTCCTCCCTATCGCAGCAGGAGGCCCTGGCTAATTGGAATGTGCATAAAACGTGGCCGAAATTGGTTGCAGCAGCAAACACCTCGGGAGCATCCTGGACTACACAATCACACACACACAATCACACACTCACACACACACACACAATCACACACATAATCACATGCACATGCACACACATGCACACAGAGCAGCGGATCGCTTAGCTTTTTGAGAAACCCAGATGAACATCATAAATGTAGATTTTACAATTAAACTCTGTGTGTGATGAGTTAATTTTTTTTTAAAAAAACCAGGTGGAGTTGGTTTTTCGCAAGCATAAATCTCCCCATAAGCCCGGGTAATGACCAGAGACAGACATAACAAAGATGGCTGGTGAAGGAGAGCTCTAATCACATTAGCTTGGAGTTCTACAGGAAGATGGTTGCTCTGTGTATTTCCCTTTATACGTAGCAACTTCAAAAAAAAATCCCTATTTTCTTAGTACATCTTTATGTAGGGAAGCCGAGTGCCTTTGAAGGCTCACACAAAACAAACAAGAGTCTTTACAAGTCCTCCCTGACCACCCAGGGAGAATCAAATAGTATTTTTTTTCTCCAGCAGGCCACCCCAGGATACCAGGAATAAAAAGCAAAAGGAGGAATTCATCTTGTAACCAGGATGTGTTTTCCTAGTATAGTTATTACACTGTGTTAATCTAAATATTATGGTATATTCTTTGCTAGTGAAGCCCACAAAGATCTAATTATTCATTTACTGGAGAGAAGAAATTTTGAAAGAGCAGAAAAATAGGTTAAAATCTAGGAAGTAGCCGCGAGGGGGAAGATTAAGGAGCTTTCTTCTTAGAATCCCGAGAATTGAGCAGGGGTTTTCAAGGTGCTCAGAATAGAAGGAGGATGGGGCAGGGGCCTCCGTGCTCCCCGGCACCCTGGGTGTAAATGCTCAGGGGCTTAGACTGCGGGAGCCATCTGGGGAGGGCAGCTTCCTGGGCCTGGCAAAGCTTAGGAGCAGGAAAGTGGGTTAGAATCATCAACATCCTGAACCACAGTCTCTGATCACATCTTGCCCAGCACAAAATCTCCATCTGAGCCAAGTCAAGATCAGACAGCCACAGGCCTCTCCCACCAAACCCAAGCGGCTGTCCAGGCCTCTACTGGTGCCACTCCTCGGGTGTGTGGGCCACCTCTACCCTCTCCTACCAGCATGCAGATGGCCTCTGACTCTCCTGAAATGACCCACTCTCTCATCTCTGTTTGGGGTCCACCGACTTCCTCCTGCCTTATAGCTCTGCCCCAAAGGAGAGCTTTGGGATAGTTACTTCATCTCTTTTCCTGCCTCAGTTTCCTTATCTGTCAACAGAAATAACAGTGAATAATGCTCACTATCATGAACAGTAGATGAGAATGTTCATCAACTAAAACTGTTACTAAGGTTTAACAGGCTCCACTCCAACACCAATGCCCCCGCCCCCCATCTCCCTTAAGCCTTCCTTAACATCTGCAGACAAAAATAATCTCCCCTTCTGTAAACTCTATCACACCCGAGCCGTCGCTAAGCCGATTCCTTGTCACTCTCCACTGGCCTTATGACCATACCGCTACATGTCAGCACACCTACCAGACTGTCCGCTTTGGCGGGGAGAGGCGGCGGCATGTTTAACGCATTCTTTCCAAAGTCCTCTACACAGAACTGCAGAACCTCAGGACCCTTTCAGAAACCTCAACACTGCTGGATTTTTTTCATACAGAATGAAAAGAGTCCAAGTGACATGAAGAGAATATACTACCAGCAAGCGTCAGCAGCTTCTCCAAGTCGAAGAGGTAGATGTGCCAGTCGGTGATGGGATGGATGCAAGGAAGGACAGATGGCTGGACAGACATAAAGATATACAGGGCAGACTCCCAGCAGCCAGCTATAGCATCTCAGATCCCTTAGAGGCCAGGGGACCAACAGAGCCTGCCCTCACCATGCATGCATTCAGTTACCGAGATTCTTTCACTGTTACTCCTTTAAAACACTTTATAAAATCCATACTAAGAGAACCCACCATGCTAAAGGGCTGGAATGAGTATTCTTATTTTCCTGTTGTTTTGCTTTTTTTTTTTTTTGTTTGCTTGTTTGTACTAAGGACTGAACGCGGGGGTAGTTACACAAAGGGCTCAGCTATATCCCCAGCCCTTTTGATTTTTACAGACAGGATCTAAGTTGCTCGGAGTCTTGCTAAATCGCTGAAGCCAACTCTGAACTTGCAGTCCTCCTGCCTCAGCCTCCCGAATTGCTGGGATTGCAGGTGTCCCTCGGTCACCACGCCCAGCGAGAGTGCAGGTCTCTTAATGGAGTGTAGAATAGTGTTTCAAATTCTCCCAGAGAAACACAGCTCAGCTTTACCTTATTTGTGCCACAGGCCCCACTGGGTGGCCATTCCACATGCCAGTCACGTGCTCATCTCCCCAGGGAGCCCACAGATGAACCACTCCTGTGAAGCGTTCCCAGTGCAATGTCATCTCTTGCTCTTCTCTGCCTGACACCTCCATCTGTCCCTACATTCACTCAGTAAAGTGCAGTGCCAGTATGGAAAACCCGGTCAGAGACCACGAGAAGACTGTGGAAAGGCAGCTGGCAAGGCGCTTGGTGGACACTGACATCTGAAGGTTCTGGACACAGGAGTCCATTTTCTTCACTCTCTAAGGTTCAGGAAATTCTACAAACCTCTCAGATGGAGGGAAGCTCCAAACTAGGACCTGGGGCGTCAGAGGATTTCCCTGCAATTCTGGGGTTCTGGGATTCCCCTACAGGCACTTGGCTGTACCTTGTCCACCTCTCTGCAAACCTCTTAGAACTTTGAAATGGCCTGAACGTGGAGCTGGGCGGCGCAGCACGTAGATGTGTGTGCTGTCACACTGTGGGACAGAGAGGAGCTGTGGAGAGCAGTTCCCACAACTGGTGATGGTGCACACGGAGCAAGTGGGCGCAGCCCTGCGTCATTCCTGTGTCCTCCCTGGGTCCAGCTCCCTGCAGCCTGACACATCAGTGTCTGTCTTGCCCATTTCAGGAGACACCCCTTCACGTAACTTTCATTACAGTCTGTTCTCATAAATGCTCTGTTTTATTAGAAGTTGTTACTGTTAGTCCTGTACCGTGCCTAACTCACAAGTCGAATTTTGCGATGGTTCTGGATGTCCAGGAAAAATACAGGGTTATGGAGTTCAGGATCCCCTGGGGTCTTGGAACATGTCCCATGTGATTGGAGGACCACTGCAGTGTCCCCAGGGTTCCAAACTTTTCACCTGTGTCACGATACTCCGCCAGCATCAGAGGGCAAGTGAGGGGGCCTTGCCTGCACAGGATCTTTCTGAATAGGATGGCAGCTTAGATGTCCCTTTGGAAGTCACCTCGGCCACCCCATCTGAAACAGCACACTCCAGTAACAGCTTGATCTCCGTGCCCGGCTG